GCCTCGCATGACAGGTGCCAGGGTGAGGAAGGACTGGGAGCCCCCCCCCCCCCCCAGCAGGGCGCTAGCTAATCTTATTAGCCTATATTGAGGTTACTTGGGGTTTACTTGGCTTAGTTTTGAGCTTGAAGCATGCCAAAGGAAATTGTAGGTTCTTGAGCTGAGGCTACAGACTGCCAGGGTTCCTGCCTTTCTGAATGTTCAGCGTAAGAAGCCACCAACTTATTTCACTAGAGGATGTTTGAAAACAAGGCTGGACCAAGATGACAGTGACACAGGCCTTCAAGCTCAACACTCAGGAGGCAGCAGCTGGCAGATCTCTGTAAACTCAAGACCCGTCTGGTCTACACAGCAAGCTCCAGGCCAATCGGGGTCATATAGTGAGACTGTCTTAAGAGCTAAAAAAAATAAGGGTTTGAGGCTAGCCTGGTCTACATAGCAAGTGCCAGACCAACTTGGGCTACAGTGGACCCAGTCTCAGAGAGAAGTGTGGGTTGGAAAAAAAGCCCTTCCCTACCCTGTATCCAATCCCCATCCCACCATTTTAAAAGGGAGAAGAAAGTCCCTGGTTCTGTCTTCAGCAGTGACGCTGCCTGGGACTGGGCTGACACGCGAGCTTGAGGAGAGAGGAACCTGGTCCCAGAGTGTTGCTGGGCGCCCAAAGGAATGGGCCAGGTCTTCCTAGCAACTCTGGCTACCCGAGACTGTTTCCAATGCAGCTAACCCTAAATCTCAGAACCACACTGCCCATAACCCAGAATGGGGAAAAAAAATTTATATATATATTGGATTTCTTTGGGGGATGGGGAATGAGTTCAAGACAGGTTTTCTCTGTTTAACCCTGGATGTCCTAGAACTCTGTAGACCAGGTTGGCCTAGAACATAGAGATCCACCAGCCTCTACCTCCTGAGTGCTAGGATTTATTGGCGTGTGCCACCACCGCCCGGCTAGGACCTGACTTTTTGAAGTTATTAGCTCTGTATCTGGGAGGGCACCACAGGCGTGGGTGCCCATGGAGGCCAGAAAAAGGCATCAGGTTCCCTGGATCTGGAGTTGACAGGCAGTTGTAAAAATGTACCTATGAGTGCCGAGAGCCGAACATGTGTCCTCCGGGAGAACAAGGACTCTTTAATGGCTGAGCCATCTCTCTGGCACCTACCCTAACCCTATTTATAAGACGAGGTCTCATGTAGCCCGGGCTAGCCTTGGAACTTACTCAAGTATCTTTCACGATGGTCTCAGCCCTCCTGAGAGGTGATGGATGGCAGGACACTCAGGGTCCCCACCACAGATGCCTGGTTCAACATCTGGGCCTTTCCTTGCTCTGAGAGACTCAGAAGACCAAACAACCCTCAGGCCAGAGTTTGTTGGGTGTACCAGCATCTCTAATCCGGTTTTCCTCCTTAGAGAGAGCCACACAGCCCGTACCAGCAGCAGCTGGGCCTTGAGGTGATTTGGGCACCCTAGCCTAGGTGTCCCCAAAATCATGCTTGGCTTCCTCTGAAAGCTTTCCTGTCTTTCCCAGACAAAATAGCAACTTCCCACACATGCTAGCTCAGAAAGAGCCTGTCTCCCAGCACCTTCCTTGATGTAGAAGCATTCCTACCCCTCCGGGGAAGTCCATTACTCTTATAAAAATATAATTGTCCCTCCCCCACTGTCTAACATTAAGCAAATGATGACTAGCTTCTTAATCCTGTCATTAAGGAAAAGACAATGTGGCCCTTCAAGTTTTTTTTTTTCAACTTTGTGTTTATGTATCAAGTGATGATTTGAATACAGAACTTGGAGCTTATAAGTAGGCAGACACTACTGAGGGACGAGAGGCCCTTGGTGTGGCCAGTCACCTACTGAGAGCTGGACTCACACTTGGACAGAGTCCTGAACTGGCCAGCCCTGTGAGACTGGACATCCACCAGGAGGGTTCATTCACTCACGTTTGGAGGCAGCCATTTTACAAATGTCTGTCGCGTGCCCTAAGGACCCTGAACTTTAAGGCCCACGTCAAGGAGAGCCAGGAGGTAACCAGCTTTCTTGGGAAATTTGGACTTACAGCCGGGCAAGGGGATATCCACATTTCCTGGAGTCCACTAAGCGTTGAGGAGGGGAGAGGCCCCCAGACCATCAGCCAGCCTCCGGGGCCTGGCCTGCGTCTGCGCCTTCAGCCTCCACCTGATTGCTCTTGCCCAGCTTCTTAAAATTCTCCAGGAAGGCCTTCCAGGTCTCCGACACGCTTTTCTCCAGAAGCCAGCCCTCACTGTCGCACTCAGGATCCTCGGGGTTGGACATGCTTTCCAGGGCTGTGTGTAGGTAGCGGAGTCCAGCAGTGATGCTTACCTGGTGGGGAGAATGGAGACTTAGAACAGACACGGGGCACAGCTAGGAGCTGGGCTGGTGGGGAAATGTGAGCGCCAGCAACTCATGTCTGCCTGGGTGCGGGCCTTAAACTGGTAGTGGCACCGCAAGCCTTGGTTGGTAAGGGCCTGACCCGGCCCCCTCCTGTCTTGAGCCCCAAGCCTCCATCTTCAGCCCCTTCCCCTTCCCCCCTCCCAAGGTATTTAGAAGGTTTGCTGTTCTCTGTTTAGATCATCATGGCCGGCCTCAGCACCTGTTGATGCATAGCCAATTCTGAGTGAGCACCTCCGACAATCCTCTAACCCCTACCTCCTGCCCCACCAGGCTGAGTACTCCAGCCCTCCACTCCGTGCCCTCTGGCTCTTTCACGGTGTGTTTCTTTGCCCATAAGGATGCCAGCAGCTTTACTGGATAGGATCACAAAGTCACTTCCGGGGCTGGCAAGATGGCTCGATGGGTAGAGCCTTGCTGCCTTAATGGAAGGAGACAACTGATGCCCACAGACTGTCCTCTGACCTCCACAAATGTGCCAGGGCACACATATGCCCAAACATGGACATGCACATATATAAACAAACATAAAGATTTTTTTTTAAACTCACTCCCAGGCCAGGCATGGTGGCGAATGCCTTTAATCCCAGCCCTTGGGCTTAAAGTAGATCTCTGTGGGTTTAGGCCAGCCTGGTCTATAGAAAGAACTCCAGGTCAGCCATGGCTATGTAGAGAGATCCTGTCTCAAACACATAAAGATGTCACTTCTGGGGATGGAAGAAGGCTGAGCAGTCAAGAGCACTTGCAGAGGGCCAGGTTCGGTTCCCAGCACCCACAAGGCAGCTCACAGCCATCCATCACCCCAGTTCCAGTTCCAGCTCTCATGAGCTCCACTGGCACCACGTGAAGTGTGTGTATGCAGGACGACAAAACACTTACACACATAAAAATGAAGTCATTTCCTCCTCTACAGACCCTAAGTGTGGGGTGAGCTCTTGTTTCCGTGAGTGCGGTGGTGAATGGGTGCTGTCACCAGCCGTTGGCATTTCCTCACTGGCACCCACCTCGGCAGACTCTGGTGCCTGAAGCGTCTGCACCGCAGCCCGCACTCAAGTAGCTGCATTGTCCCGTGAGCAGATGTTCAGGGGGTGACAACTGCCCTCTGTGGATGGCCTGGGACCCTGTATGTGCAGAGCACACCTTAGGTGGCACCTGGCAGGACGGGGGGAGCTGTCGGTTGAGTGGTGATTGACGTGGCATGTATTCTTCTTTTCTTGATTTTTGTAGTCCATTCTCTACTTACCTCTACGCAAGCTCAAGTTTCCTGCGCAGCTCCAGGCTGCTCCCTAAGAACAGAACTGGTCCTCTAGTCCCATACATCTGGGGCATCTTACTCCCCAGCCCCAGAGCTCCTAGGGTGATGGTGGGACCTCACCAAGCACCTGCCAGTGGGTGCAGAGGGGAGACTTTAGCTGTAGGAGTGTCCAATGAGAGGGACCGGCCAACCTCAGGCCTTATTGTCATCTGTTGAAAGTTTACTAGCACATTTAACAATGGGGAAATCTGCCTCCTCCTGGAGGAAGCCCGCTGCACCGTGGACTCTGCATCCCGCAGTGGTCTGCCCCTTGTGCATGTTTGGTCGTGTCCTGGCTGGCCTGTGATGCCCAGGAGAGGCATCCAAGGTTGCAGCCCCGCCTTCAGCTCCGGCAGCCCAGTGGCTGCTCTCGAGAAGCTGGGGGTGCTCAGCCTCCCCGCTCTCCAAGAGCCAGTCCCTGTCAGCTGAGTTCCTGCAACAGTGAGCCTGGAAGTAGCCAGGCTCTCCACCACACTCTTTAAGGACAGGCATCTTGTCGTGGCGTTTAGGTGACTGTCGGCCTGGTGGTTAGCTGCCCACCTGCCCCACTCATTCCCAAGTCGGCCTCGAGGTGTCATCAGTCAACAAATGCCGCCCTTGCCTTGACGTCAAGAGCCTTCGCAGGTGGTCCAGCCATTTGTCATGTTACCTGGTGGCTTGGAAGAGGTGTGTGGGTACGCCCTGCCCATGGACTGTGAGGGAAGATTCCAGCAATCTTCCCTCATAGAAAGATACTGCCTCAAGCTAGTGTTTCTGTCCTGGTCCCTTCTGATTTGGGAGCCTAGGTTTTCTGATGGCTGGGTAGCTCCTTGCAGTCACCCCAGTCACCCCTGAATCACTACACCAGCTCGTAGCCCCTTCAGCACCTAGAACAGCTCCCAGCGTTGGGTGTTTGGGAATTCCCTTCCGTGGAGATGGACAGGGAATGGGGGCGGGAGGGTGGGCTGAGTTTCACGCTCCGGAGCTTCAGGAAAAGGAGCTGAGCTTTGCAGATGACATAGGTTGGCCCCAGAGAGCAGACTGTCACGAAAGCACCGGACTAGGCTCTTGAAGCGCACAGATCCACAGACTCCCTTGACTGAAGGTCCCAGTTGCGTAACCAGCGACTCCCAGTTGTCCCTAGAGGCAACGCTGCTGCCCCCATGTGACAGTTAATGTAACCATTCAAGGCCTCAGAAACACCGGAGGGACCCCAAAGTCCAGCTAAGTAAAAGCCAAACATGAAAGGTTTTCTTGGAGGACAGGGGTGAATGAAATGTTTTAGAACTAGGTTGAGGTAGTGGATACGTGCTGCTGTGAATGCACTAAACAGATTAATGTTGTGCACGCCTTTAATCCCAGCACTTAGGAGGCGGGGACAGGCAGATGTGAGTTTGAGGCCAGCCTGATCTACATGGAAGAGTCCCAGAATAGCCAGGGCTATATATAGAAAGGCCTTATCTCAAAAAGAAAAAAGAAAAGGAAGAAAACAGTTAAATTTATGTTGATTTTACCTAAATATAGTCTGTAAGCAATGATGCCAGGCATGATGGAATACCTATGTTCCCAGCTTTTGGGGGAGGAGGCTGAGGCACAAGATCTCATAGAAATTCAAGGCCAGTGTGGGCAACATAGGGAGACTTTGTCTCAACCACAAAAAGATGCCAAGCATGGTGACAAACCCCTGGTTCCTGGCACTTGGAAGGCAGTGCGGGGAGGATGAGGAGTTCGGGGCTAGCCTTGGCTGCATCTCAAGTTCAGGGCCAGCCTAAATTACACGAGACCCTGTAGGTTTGCCCACCGGGCCTGGCAGGCTCCCTTTCCCTGCCCTCCGTGGGCCTACCTCAAAGAGCCAGACGAGGAGCGTGACGACACCCATGGTGTTCATGAGGCTGCTGTAGTAGGCGAGGAGGGCGTGCCTGCAGCCCCGCAGCCACAGGTTGAGCTCCTCCGTCTGGTGGTCGTAGCTGTAGTGCGCCGAGTTGTTGGTGAGCTGGTACTGGATGCAGGGCCGTGGCGAGCTGGGGTTACAGCAGCTGAAAGGGACGCCGTCCACCAGGTACCGCCCGTCCACATTGCTCTTGATGCGACTGGAAAAGAAACAGCCTGGTTCAGGCTCCTGGGACATCTCCCACCCGCTGAGAACCTGCATTTTCTTTTTCTTTTTCAATTTTATTTATTATGATGTTATGTGCATTGGTGTTTTGCCTACATGGTATAAGATCTTGGGGTTGTGAGCTACCATGTGGGTTCTGGGAAATGAACCTGGTCCTCTGGAAGAGCAGTCAGTGCTCCTAACCACTGAGCCATCTCTCTCCAGCCCCCAAGAACCTGCATTTTCATCCATGCGCTGCCCATGAACACCCACCACATAGGAGCCTTTATACTAGGAACTAGAGAGAGCAGTGAGCACTGACCCCACCCCCGCCTTCCTGGGGTGTTCCTTCTAAAAGGTGGGGGCAGGAGTTGACCCCTAAGCCCTCACCAACCATCTCTCCCTTTTACAGGGTACTCATGACCAAGGTCTGCTCTGGCCCAGGGCCTGTGCAGAGGCAGGGCATGGAGGCTGGGGCCAGGCACAGGCCTCACCTCTGTAAACTCCACACCAGCAGAGGACCCTCCTTACTCATTTAGAAAGACTAGACTATGCCCTCTGCTCACCTGCACTCCAGAAAAGGGCATCAGATCTCATTATAGATGGTTGTGAGCCACCTTGTGGTTCCTGGGAATTGAACTCAGGACCTCTGGAAGAGCAGACAGTGCTCTTAACCACTGAGCCATCTCTCCAGCCCTGTCCCCTGCTCACTAAACTGCCAGGCAAGGCTCCCACCTACCCAGAATGCCTGTAGTAGTTTGTACAGTTTCTTTGGGGTCTGCTGTGCCCTCACAGGGATCTAAAATCCCAAAGAAATCTTTGCAGTGAAAAGTCCTTCCCACCCCCACAGATAGTATGTGCTGCCTGACCCGGTGTTCATAAAGTTGTTCCAGCAGCATGCTTCAGATGTGTTGTCCTTGGCCGGACATGGTAGAGCACCCTGTAATCCCAGCACCTCAGATGTGAAGGCAGGAGGCCCAGTTTAAGGTCACCCTCAGCTACGTGGTGCATTCCGGGCCAGCTCCCATTGTGTAAGACTGTCTCCAAAGATAAACACATAAAAAATGGCTAAAGAGGCGGCTAGCTCCCTTGGTGAAATGCTAGACAACGCAAGCAGAAGGACCGAATTCACTCTGGAACTCCCTGGCAGCAGGGAGAGAAAGGAAGAAAACTGAGGTTGTCCTCAGCCCTCCACACACACCCGTGCACGAGCACACATGCCCACGCACCCTCATAAACACGCATAAGGTAAACTACAGCTGCCTTCGAAGCCTCATCTGGAAGAGCCCACTCGGGGCTGGTGAGATGGCTCAGAGCTTAAGAGCACTGTCTGCTCCTCCAGAGGTCCTGAGTTCAATTCCCAGCAACCACATGGTGGCTCACAACTATCTATACTGGAATCTGATGCCCTCTTCAGATAGAACACTGATACGTAAAATAAATAAATAAAATCTTTTTATTTTTTTAATTGAAAACCCCACATGGCAGCCTTACATGCTGGCCTTAGAGCCCTTGGGACCGGGAGGAGAGGCAGGAGGTTACACACACACACTCTTCGGATGGAAAGTAAACAAACTGAAATTAAAAATAAATAAAAACAAAAACCTTAGAGCTCTTTCCTCATCCGCCCATGGAGAGTGTCCTGGATTGTTTGGTTTGGTTTGTTTGTTTCGGTGAGCTGCGTCCGTGGCAGCCTGCTGTGGGTAGCCCGTATGGTCCATAGGTTTGTTTGGGTGGAATGTTGGTGAATGTACGGAAGATCTGCCCTGGCCCTGTGGGTCATCCCTTCAGAGGCTCTGTCACATGTCCAGCCAGCCATGAGCGAGACAGCCGGCACCTCCCAGCCTCACCAGTCCAAGCTGGGGTCTCCATAGACCCCGTTGACGAAAAATGGTACCTTGGCGTTTTGAGGTTTTGTTTTTGTTTAAGGGAATCCATCCATGAGAGGATAAGTCTCTCTTGCGTGTTTATTTGGTGTGCTGCAAGGTAGGTCAGAGGACACCCTGCAAGAGCTAGTCCCCCTTCCCCCACTGAGTCATCTCCCCTGCCCCCTCAGCTTGTCTGGGTTCACACTTTCCTCTTTCCAAGAGCATCCTTTGCTGTTGGAGCTACCTGTGGGCCTTTTCTGGGAGCTGCCAGCCGCTCTCCTCCCATTGGGTTAGGTAGGGCTCTGGAAGGCTGCACATGGCAGCCTAGGCTAGCCCGTATTTCCACAGATCCTTCAGTCCCAACCTCTATTCATGGGCAAGGTGCGCTACCTAATGAATAGGTGGCACTAGGTCCATGGGCGTGGGACAGGGTAAGAACGAACCACTGGCTTTGACTCCTGCCCTGCAGAGACCAGCTTCATCCCTCAGACAAGTACCTTCATCCTGGCCTGCCTCAGCTTCCTTGTGACATGAGGATTATGGGGAGAGGCAGGTAATAGAGCTTGAAGAGGGAAGGGCACATAGGAAACACAATATAAGTGTGAGCTCACACCCAAAGGGTGCCTCACTGGGAAGTGGCCCAGCAAGAGCCACCCCGAGCACCCGAGGAGCCTACATCAGGTTATGAAATCAACTGACCAGAGGATATCACGGGGACACGGTCACTCATGAGTTAGTGGCCTTTGAGGGTAGCTGTGGGGCAAGATTCTCTCCCAGGCAGAAGTGCGTAGGCTCAGTGCCCTGAAGGAGGCGAGGGCTGCACACGCCTTGGCTGCTGCTGGAGCCATCTTTCTGATGGCGCCTTGGTGCACAGGACAACACGAGCCAGACCTTGCTCGGCTTCTGCCGAGCCCGTGACAGAAGCACACGGGCAGTGTGTGGCCTGTGCGGTGCTGGGCCAGTGCTGGTGAGGCCTAGGTGGAGCAGGGCAGGGCCTTCAGCTGTCGCTGAGCTGAAGCCTACACACCTGCCCCTCAGGTCCACCACAGGGATACCCGAAATGAAGGTCAGGCCTGTAGCCATGAGATGGAGGCCTCTGCTGGCCTCCATCTCCCCCTCACCTGCCTCTTGAGGGCCCATGACCGTGAGTACGCTGAGAATTTAGAGTCTGAGATGCTTCCTTCCTCCAAGCACCCAGGATCCTCAACTGGCTTTACTCAAAGCTGAGGGTGTCCCCGCTCTCATGCTGTTCTTCCTGCTACTGACTTGCAGGCCGTCCCTTGAGCCTCTGTCCCAACACATATATTCCCGGAGCATTTCTAGTGTCCCCAAGGACAGCTGTGGGCATGGCAGTGCTGCTTGCCGCCGGCCTGTGGGGCTGGGCCTCTCCAGACCTGTGTGAGGTGGCTGTGGCCTGTTGCTTCACAGGCTCACAGATAATTCAAGTGACACATTTGACCAAGCCCAGCGCTCCCTTGGCCTTTGAAAAATCCTGGCTCCTCTCCAAGTAAAATCCTCTGAAGAGGCTCTTGAAAACCACTAGGCTGTTCCGTAGAGGAGGAGGCAGGACTCTGAACAGGGCAGATTCTCACCCGAAACCCACAAGTAACTGAAGGCCAATCCAGCAGCAGTTACCCACTGGCCTCCTATTGCCTTGGGACTTACCTACATTGGCCTTGAACTCCCTTTGTAGCTGGGGATGACCTTGACCTTCTGACTCTCCCGCCTTCACCTCCCAGATGCTAAGACTATGGGCATGTACCGCCACACCCAGTTTACGTGGGGGATGGAACCCAAGGCCTCCACCAATGAGAGGTTCACATTCTACCAACCCAGTTTTTTCCCGGCCCTACTCCTCTGGGAGAGAGTTAACCAAGAAAGAAATGACCCTACTCCTCCTGGGCCTCAGCAGCCGCTCCCAGGCCCATCAACCACCCTACACGCCCTGCCAGATGTGCCAGATGTCCCCAAGCTGAAGGAAAGCCTGCACACCCGCCTCACATATGCTACACGTGTACCTGAAGAGAGGGTCAGGTCAGCAGTCACTTGGCTGAGGCCAGCAGAGACTCCTGAGTGTCCCCCCTGACTCCCCACCTCCCCTTTCTGAACTTCAGTGGGCAGGACGCCCTGCTAGTCTCCATAAGACGTAGTCATGTCTCCCTTAGCCTGGAGCTCCCCGAGGACAGGCTCATAGAGCTCCTCACCACCTGAAGAGGCAGGCTCGGAAGAAATCTGAACAGTTAAGCCGCACTGAGAAGGGGGTGGGGAGAAGAAAGATGCGAAGCCCTTGCTATACAGTCGGTGTTCTAAACCCCGTGTCCTCCTGGGTCGGCCCCCCTCCATAGTATCTTAGATTCTCGCTCTTCAGATGGGTCCCCAGCCCTGAGGAGGGCTCAGTCCCTCTCCCCTCGCTCTCCTGCCTTTCCCCGTTGATTTATCAGTTCACCCACTAAGTTCTGTGTTTCTCCAGAAGCGTCCGCAGAACGCCTGAGAAGGCTAGACTAGCCTTGGCTGTGGGTGCAGCCTAGAACACGGGCTTTTCTTTAAGACTCAAGACCCCGTGACCCCCAAGCAGAGCACTCTATAGCCTGGGAAGTGGTCTGATATAAATAGCCAGCTCACCACCTAAGGAGCTCTGCCCGAGACACCTGGCTTTGTCTTAGGAGGTGCCTGGGCCCTAAGTAGGGCAGGCCCTAAGTAACCAAGGTGAGACTGGGATAGGAGGCTGAGCTGTGTGCGGGAGGGCCCCAGGGAGGTCCCACCTTGAACCTGGCCCTTCCTCCCCTCTGCTGAACTGGGTTCCTTCTTCAGGACCCAATACCCCAGGCTGCCTAAAGAGGCACAGCCCCAAAAATGAAGGAAAAGAAGCACTGCATTCCTGAGGACTGGGGTCATTTTTGTGGGCTTGGCTCCTCCCTCTGCAGGCCTCAGGCCCACCCAGGACCCCCAGCTGAGGAGGCAGGTTAAGGCACAGAACAGCCTGCAGAACTGGGGGGTGGGGAGGTGGGGGCTAAGGGGAGTTCTGGTTTGGGGTCCACCTCTTTACTACCTGAGGTGTTGACATAAAAGCACGGAGTCAGGTTGTCTACACACTGTGGCAGTTCACCCCTCCACCCCCCCCAAAAAAAACACACGTTATTATAAAAATCTCTTTAAAAATTTTTTTCAAACCCCCCCCCCCCTTTACTCTGCCATCAGAATCCTACCTAAGGCTACTGAGAGAATCCAGAAGTAAATGCAGATCACTTTCCAGGGCTTGAGGAATAAATTTTATAATTCCTTTTTTTCTTTCTTTCTTTCTTTCTTTCTCTCTCTCTCTCTCTCTCTCTCTCTCTCTCTTTTGGGGGGTGATTCAAAACAGAGTTTCTCTGTGTAGCTGTCCTAGCACTCACTCTGTAGACCAGGCTGGTCTTGATCTCACAGAGAGCCACCTGTCTCTGCTCCCTGAGTGCTGAGATTAAAGCTGTGGGTCACCACTGCCCAACAAACTTTACAATTTCAAGGAAGGAGTCATCACACAGATGTTTATCAAGCCTTCTTAAATGGTGCAGCCAAAAAAAAAAAAAAAGAAAAAGAAAAGAAAAGTTTTTTAAGGTTTATTTATTTATTTGTTAATTTGTGTCTGTATGTGTATCTGTGTGTAGGTATGTGCATGTGAGTGCAGGAGCCCATAGAGACCAGCAGAGGGAGCCAGATCCCCTGGAAGCTCATGTTGTAGGTGATTATGATCCACATGGGTGTTGGGAACCTAGCTCAGATCCTCTGCAAAGCAGTACATGCTCTTAACCACTGAGCCACCTCTCCAGCCCCCAAAAGAAAATAATTTAATTTAGAAAACTTTAGGGCTAGGCCTGTGATCCCAGCAGTCGGGGAGGCAGAGGCAGGCAGATCTCTGTGAGTTCAAGGCCAGCCTGGTCTAAAGAGAGAGTTTTTAAAACAAAATCAAAACAGAAGTCAACAGTCACTTCTAGCACATGGGTCCTAGAACCTCGAACTCAGGTCCTCAGGCTTAGCAGCAAGCAACTCTATGTCCTGAGCCAGCTCACCAGCCCCAGAAGTCTTGTCAAGCCCCACGTGTTTTCCTGCCCCCATTCTCTCATTCATCCCACCCCGGCTGTACTCATCTGGCCCCAGGCCCTGGTCTCAGGCAAATGTGACTCTGGAGGCTCTCTGGGCTGGTCAGTGGAGTGCATGTCCTTCCTGGGAACTGTCACTGGTCACTAAGGTAGAAGCCTACGGGAAATGATGGTGGGATTCCCTGCCAGCTCTATTCCAAACAGCCCAGGCTATCCCACTATGGTGTGATATCCCTAGAGGTATTTTATTCCCACGGTAGTATCTTGCTCTTATTTATTCTTTTGCTTCTTTTTGCTTTGTTTTGGCCTGCTCCAATGTTACAACAACGAACGGAAAAGAGCTGAGTGCCTGCCTCGGGGGTATAGTATGCAGCTGTTTAAAAAGATCGTGGTGAATGAATGCAATAGTCACATGATCAATTGTGCCCGATTGCATGATGCTGCAGTTACACGTGTTGTAAACATGTGAACAATACTAGACTAAAACGTAGAGAGTCTAAAGCTGCCTGTCAGTTGTAGATGAGATTCCGTTCTGAATTTCTTTTTCTGCGGTTTTTAAAAATCATTAGCCGGGTGCGGTGGTGTTCACTTGTGATCCTCAGGAGGCCGAGGCAGGTGGATCTCTGTGAGTCCAAGGCCAGCCTGGTCTAGAAAGGGAGTCCAGGACAGCCAAGGCTACACAGAGAAACCCTGTCTCTGGGGGGGGGGAATATATATATATATATATATATATATATATATATATTGTACACAAGATTTCTCTGTGTAGCCCTGGCTGTCCTAGCATTGCTTTGTAAACCCGGTGGCCTTGAACTCAGAGATCCGCCTGCCTTTGCCTCCCAAGTGCTGGGATTAAAGGTGTGGGCCACCATACCCTCTTCTTTCTCTATTTCCACGCCTCTTCCTATGTTCGATCATATTGTTTGTGTGTACAGCAGTGAATTTTTTCTCCATGACATTGGAATTAAGACAGTTGCATCCCAGCAGGTCGGTATGGAACACAGAGGTACATTTTAAAGTATTTTAAACATACTGTTTCCTGGGGTGGGACACAAGCTTTCCACAGCTCCTGTGTGGCGGTCGGGGTACACCTGCTGGAGTGGGTTCTCTCGCCATGTGCCATCCAAGGCAGCAAGACTCCTCACCCACCCAGCCACCTTGCCGGTCCCACCGAGGTACTTCTGGCTAAGTTAAATGTCCACTTGGAAGTTTGGGGGCCCTGGCCATTGGGACTAGAGTGACCTCGGCCATTTCTCCACTCTCAAAGCAAAAGGAAGCTGGAATTACAAAGACGCTCTTATATTACTCTCTGTGGGGAAGACAAGAGTCTGACAGGATTGGGGGTGGTGGTGAGAGGGACAGCACCTGCCTCCTCCAAGAGGGAGAAGGGGAAGGGAGAAGGGCGAGGGGAGGAGGTAGGGGAAGAAGACAGGCAAGAGGGCAGGCACTAGCTGAGCCCAGGACCTGGGCTGTGGAGATCACTAGCACTGAGTGGGGAAAAGAAAGGTTCCCTGGGACTCACTGCTACTCTGCTAAAAGAGCAAAGCGTTAAACCATCTCCCAATGCCTTGTAACACCCCCGTATGATGACGGAGTCTCAACCTCCATCAGAGAAGGGTCTTACAGTGATTAACCCGGGCTCACAGTTGGCCAGGTGCAGAGAGTAGAGACTGCTGAATGTTAGCCCTAAATGGGACATCTCTATCACGCCTCCTCCTCCCCATCACACCCCTCCTCCCCATCATGCCCCTTCCTCCCTATCACATTCCCTCCTTCCTATCCCCTCCCTCCTCCCCATCACACTCCCTCCTCCCTATCATGCCTCCTCCTCCCCATTATGCCCCCTCCTCCGAAAGCTCAGGTATGGGTCTCAGGAGAAGGGGGCAGAGAGAGTGTAAGAGCCAATGAACGGTTATAGAAATCGTCCTTCCAGACACAACAGGACAACTGGTAGCAGCTTTTGACTACATGCATAAGACCTGCACAAAATCAAGCCAGAGAGAGTTGCAGCATGAACTCCCACCTCTAACTGAGATGCTGCTGGCCGCAGCTGTCTGCTGGGGAGGGAGGACTCAGTTTCCCTCAGGGATGCAGCCCTGAGAGACTCTCCAGGCTCTGGCAGATGGCCAGACACCACACAACCTGATAGCTCTAACTGGAGCCCACTTGTTTAAGAGAGAGAGAGCACATGAAACTCGGAGGAAATAAGGGTAGAGGTGGGGCTAGAAGGGATGGGGTGGACCTGATGAAACCATGTCATACCCATGCGAAACACAGTTTGAAAAGGAGAAAAAGAAATTCCATCCAGAGTCCACATTAGAAAAAGACAAGAGAAAAACGCCAAAGGGACCGACCAAAGCCTTCTCCGTCTGGTGTTACCATGGGCCTCTCATATTCCCAAGCGTTCCGCGTGTCTCCCGGCTTCCCAGCCTCCTAGGCGGTTTATGCAAATCATGCCCCCCTGTCCTGTCCCCACAGACTTGTCATCTAGGAAGGGCAGAGCTAGCAATCTTCTCCTTGGCCAGGGATTTGTGGCTGTAATCTCCTTCCACAGAGAAAAAGACGTGCAAGCAGTGACCTTCACTGAACTTCCCTCCACCGGGAGCCTCTAAGCTAGATGCAGCCTCCCAGGAGCCTCAGGGCCTCAGGCGCATCCTGCTGCTGGGGTGCCGGCTCCACCGTGGAAAGAAACATCCGGCCCCTAACTGCCTGTCCCCTGCCCTCTGCACCCACTGTGCCACACTGTATACACGCACACAGATAAAAATACACCAGGCTTGGTGGCACATGCCTGTAATCCCAACCCTTGAAAGGCAGAAATAGACGGACCTCTGAGCTGAAGCCCAGCCTAGTCTACATAAGGCAGCCAAAGTACTTAAGGAGAAAGACTTTCAAGGAGAAAGACAGAAGAGGCAGGCATTTAAGCACCTGCTGTATACCAGGCATAGACAGACCAGGATAGTCCATTTTCTTCCCTTGAAAGATGGGTAGAGACCAGCAGTGGCGAGCCTCCTGCCTGAGCCACAAGCCAGCTGAGAACAGAAGCCAGAAGCACAGCCCAAAGCTGACCGCCCTCCCCACCCTGAATATCACAGGGAATTCGTTTGCCTTGAATTCCGCCATATTTAGCCTTGTCCCTGACGAGGGGTTGACCGCTTGGGAGGCGGGGGCGCAAACCAGGAAATTCAAGTTTCCACGTCATTTGATGGCACAAGACAAGCACTGAGAGATCTGGCGAGCTCTGAAGACCCCATTCTTACTGCACGAAGCAGCCCCACAGTCTGGCCCTCCTCCTGGCAGCTTCCACCTAACTAAGCACCTTTCCCCTCCCCAGCCAGACGTGAAGCTGAGCCAGGGGAGGTTGCTGGAGGCCAGAGGCCATCTCACACGCAGGCCGGGGGGGGGCCCCAGCGCACCAGCTACTCACTCTTTGACCTCCTTGGAGGAGAAGTCCAGGTAGCGATTGCTGATCCACTGGATCTCGAACCAGTCCCGGAAGCCGTTGTTGCCGCAGCAGTTGAACTCGATCTGCAGCATGTCGATGGTCTTCTTCATGAAGCACCGGCCGGGGGTGTCCGTGTCCCGGTAGAACTTCATGCCGTTCTTGAGCCCGGAAGCCAGCGTGCCCTCCAGGGAGCCCCGCAGCAGGAAGCAGCAGAGAGCCACGAGGAAGAGGACGCCGTTGAAGAGGACGCACACGGCCAGGTAGGGCCTCAGCCAGGGCTTCCACTGGGCGTACTTGGCGGGGTCCAGGGAGTCGTAGCAGATCTTCCCGGCCAGGGCGTTGAGGACGCAGGACAGCACCCCGACCCCGATCAGCAAGTTGGGCACGAAGTGGCTCTCCGAGTTGTTCATCACGTCGCTCCGCTTGCGGAGCTCGATCTTCAGGAAGAGCCCCAGGCCGAAGAGGACGATGCCGGCCAGCACCGACAGCCAGTTCATCAGCCAGAGCCCCTGGGCCAGCTTGACCCGCTTCTTCTGGTCAAACTTGACCTTGAGCAGCGCCATGCCTACCGAGCGGGGTCCGCGCAGCCTCCCACGCTCCTTAGCCGAGTGAGGTCAGGCCGCACCACTCAGGGCCTCGGGAAGAGCACCGCGGGCCCAAGCTGCGGGGAGCTGCCCATCTTGGGGCCTCCCTCGCCCAGGATCCCCGTTCACCCAGCGACGGCAGCCGGAGCCGGTCTAGGCCGCCGTCCCTGCAGCGTCCTTCCCACACTGCGGATTAACAGCGGGACCCACAGGGCGGCCGCTAAGCTCTTTAGCCGGAGTCATCCCATTAGAGAAAGCTGCCCCGTGGCCGGGAGGAGCCTCGGTACACGCTGGACCCAGTTCAGCTCAAAACCCGGAGCAGGGGGTCGAGGCTGGCTAGACCAGGCCGGGCGTGTCCGCAAGCTGCAGCCAGCTTGTTTTGGGTCTGTGAGTCCCGGACCAGAGAGGTGTGACTTTCCCGGCAGGCCACTCAGCACCCACACGGTGGCTCACAGCCACCTGTAACCCTAGTTCAAGGTGTCTGACACCCGCTTCTGGCTTCCACGGGCCCAGACACACACGCAGGTAAAACAACCATTTACACGTGTTAAATCACAAGCCAGGCGGTGGTGGCCCACATGCCCTCAACACCAGCGCTTGAGAGGCAGAGGCCGGCAGTTCTCTGAGTCTGAGGCCAGCCTGGTCTACACAGTGAGTTCTAGGACAGCCAGGGCTACACAGAGAAACCCTTTCTCCGACCCCTCCCCCCCAAAAAAAAGAATCACAAATAATTCTAGAATCCACCCCCATCTTGTTGGTTGGTTGGGTGTTTTTTATTTATTTATTTAAGGCAGAATTTTACTATGTAGCCCTGGCTGGCCTGGAACTCACTGTGTAGACCAGGCTACCTCAAAAGCACAGAGATCCAATTGCCTCTACCTTTGGAGTGCTAGGATTAAAGGAGTACAACAGCACACTTGGCTACGTGTAGCAAGTTCAAGGCCACTGTGAACTGCAAGAGGTCCTAGCACAAACAAGGAAAGAAATAAACAACCAAAGCAGCAGTTGTATTAACTGTCAGCACAGTCACAAGCAAAGACAGAAATGTGACGTTTATAGCCTGAGTCTGTATTTTGTTGATGTTTGGGGTTTGTTTTTGTTTTTGTTTTTGTTTTCCCAAGGATTTATTTATTATTTATACAACATTCTGCCTGCACACCAGATCTTACTATAGCCACCATGTGGTTGCTGGAAATTGAACTCAGGACCTTTGGAAGAACAGCGAGTGTTCTTAACCTCTGAGCCATCTCTCCAGCCCTTGTTTTTCTGTTTTTTTGTCTTCTGTTTTTTTCATTGTTAAGACAGACTCTCCATAGCCCTCTTATCCCTATGTAGCCCAGGCTGGCCTCAAAATTGAAGGAATCTTCCAATCTCAGCATCACCAAGCCAGCTTATTGTCTTTTATAATTAGTAGGTATTTTAAAAGCAATTTTAGGGTTACAAAAGTTTGAACAGAAACTACAGATTTTCCATCCCCAAGCAGCCCAACCAGGAATCTCTTGCGTGACTGTGTTATATTTTTTTATTGTTTTGTTTGGGACATGATTTTGTCATGTAGACCAGGCTAGCCTTAAATTACCCCCCCTTCTGCCTCAACTGATAGAGTATACATTTTAAAAAATATTTTCTTTTTAATTACATATATATGTGGGTGTAGAGGAAATGTGCACGTGGGTGCAGGTACCCATAAGGACCAGAAGAGGGCATCCGATTCTCTGTGGCTGAAGTTACGGGCAGTTGTGAACTGGGTGATGTGGGTGCTGGACTCAAACACAAGAGCCCCAGAGCAGCAAGCACCGTCTGTCCTGCCCCAGTTTTCACCTCTCTATCTCTCTCAGTGTGTGTGTGTGTGTGTGTGTGTGCGTGTGTGGGTGTGTGCGTGTCTTCAGCTTTTTGAGACAAGATCTCTCTAGGTAGCAGTATGCTGTCCTGGAACTTACTATGTAGGCCAGGCAGACCTCAAATTCACAGAGATCTTCCACCTTTGCCTCCTGAGTGCTGGGATTAAAGGTATGCACCTGGAAATCTTCACCATTCTTAAGGGTGTACAATGGGAGCACATTGCTAGTTTAATTTGCCATTGCCTCACATTTATCCTGAGGAGTAGGTGTGGGCATCATGTATATTCCAGCATACATGTGTGTGTGCTGTGTGTGTGTGTGTGTGTGTGTGTGTGTGTGGTGTGTGCTTGCGCCTGTGGAGGCTAGAGGTGTCAGAGGTGCTGGCATCTTTCTCTGGCAGCCTCATCTGGCTATCCTGGCTATCCAGGGAGCCCAGATCATGCAGCCCCCCTAGAGAAGGGGTTGCAGGAGGGAGCCACCATGCCAGCTTTTCTCACGGGAGCTGGGATCTAAACTCCGCCATCTTTCCTTACAATTTCGAGAGAGCACTTCCCATGGACAGACCCTTCTCCAGTTTTTTTCCGGGGACACTGTGGGCTCCGCAGACTCTTCTGCCGCTGCCTCATCTCTCCCTGGAGCCTTCATGGGTCTCAGACTCGGTGCCGAGCGTCGGTCACAGCCATGTTTCAGGTTTCCACGCTCCATCTCGAGGATTTGTTCCTGGATCTGGTTCTGCAGCTCCGTCTCCTCCACCCGCTCCAGCAGCGCGGAGGGGTAGACGTTGGTGTGGATGGATTGAAGCCCTGCCTCTGGGTCCAGACCGAGGCCAAGCTGGTCTGGGATGCTGCGCTTAATCCACTGATTTTTCTTAGCATCCCCACAGTCACAGAAGCTGCATTCTCCAGGACCTGTTTTATGCTACTTTATTTTTCACTGAAAAGCGTCGTGAGGCTGGAGAGGTGGCTCAGAGGTCTAGAGCAGAGGCTGTGCTTCCCGAGGATCCACATTTGATTCCTAGCCCCCGAAGACAGCCGGACCAGAGCTGATGCCCTCTTCTTGTCTCCTTGGGTGCCAGACATGCACACGGTGCACAGATACACATACAGGAAAAACAGCCCCACACACAGCATCTTAAATAAAACAGTTCTAATGAAATCAACCTGTCATTCAAAACTGTGTTTTTCTAACCGGTTGTGATTGTGCAAGAATTTCTACACCTCAATCACATTCAGCAACTCAACAGCATCTACCTCTTACGAGTCACTTGGAAAAGGCATGTCTGGGTTGGAGAGATGGCTCACCTAAGAACACTGGCTGCTCTTCCAGAGAACCCAGGATTCAACTCCCAGCACCCACATGGCAGCCCGCAACAATCTGTAAAGGGATCTGACGCCCTCTTCTGGCGTGCAGGCAAAAGTGCAAACAGAGCACTCATGCAACTAAATAAAGCTCTTTAAAAAGTCATTCCGAAGCTATAGGATCCTGCTAAAGGAGAAATCAATAGTTCAAAACTGCTGAGGACAGGGCGGAAGGCACACGGGGAAGACAGACTACTCCACAATACGGAAGTGCTGCTTGGCCTATTTTTCAACTGGGTTGTGTGCTTTCTAATCGCTTGTGTACTTATTTACTTGTGAGACAGGGTCTCACAGAGCCCAGGCTGGCCTTCAACTCACCATGCGTCTGACCATGATGATGATAAACTCGTGGCTCACCTGCCTCACCACCCCCTCCCTCCAAGGGCTGAGATTACAGGCGAGTGTCACACGCTGCTCTTTCTTTAGAACACAAATTTGCACAGCCTCTTTGGAGAGGACTCTAGCTACACCGGTTAAAGTTTGAAACGTTCATTTCTGGGGCTGGAGAGATGGCTCGGTGGTGAAGAGGGCTTGCTGCTCTTGCACAGGAGCTGAGTTTGGTTCCCAGCACCCACATGGCTCCAACTCCAGAAGACCTTCAGATCAGAGCCTCCCTCCTTCCTCCCTCCCTTTCTCCCCCCCCCCCCCGCATCACTTCTGCTTGCATAGCCCTTCAAGACTTCCAGGTCAGCCAGGCGGTGGTGGCACATGCTGTTAGTCCCGGTGCTGGGGAGGCAGAGGCAGGCAGATCTCTGAATTCTAGGCCAGCCTGGTCTACAGAGCAAGTTCCAGGACAGCCAGGGCCACACAGAGAAACTTTGTCGTGAAATATATCATCCCCTCTATACCCCTCCCCCAAAATAAAGACCTTGTGGATCAAGGGCAATGAGATGGTTCAACAGATGAAGGTGCTGCTGCCAAACCTAACAACCCTGAGTTTGAGCCCTAGGCGGCTCTTGGTGGAAGGAGAAAACCAGCTCCTATAAGCTGTCCTCTGACTTCCGCTCAGATGCTGTGGATGAATAAATGGACACGTGCACCAGAACAAAGCCACAAACAAAGGGTGTTTCTCCTCCAACACAGTCCTTGGGAAACAACACTGGCTCCTTTGTGGGAGCAAAGCTTGGGTGCCACTCGGCATCTCCACAGGCAGATTCCGGGGCATCTAGGAACAATCTTGTTTTATTTTGTCATGCCACAGTTTGAGTAAAACAAACAAATATTACCCAGGGTGCCTGATTTATCTGCTATTTTAGGTTTTTTTTATTTTTGTTTTGTTTGTGTTTTTGCAGACAGGGTTTCTCTGTGTAGCCCTGGATGTCCTGGAACTCGCTCTAAAGACCAGGCTGGCCTCGAACTAACAAAGATTGGGGTGCTGGGATTAAAGGTGAGCCACCACCGCCCTGCCTCTGATTTATTTTTTTTTCTTTTCACCAGTCTTGGATCCTCACAGCTTTGGATATTCAAAACATTTCATCTTCTCGCCACCAGAGACATTGGAAAAACCGAGCTTTGCTGGCTGCCTTGGTGCAGACTTGGCCAAAGCGATGCTCCTGCCTCCCTCATGCAAGCATGCAGAAGCTGTCCCACAACAGGGTGCAGATGGCTTTGGGAAGCTCTTAGGGCACGCATGTGGATGAGAGAAAACTGGGGAGAAGCGATGGGCAGCCAGAAGTAGCCGTGTAAAAACAGCCTCCAAGGACTCAGCTACGCACCTTTCTTCTGCTCTGTGGATCCTAAATCCCTCAGGAACAGCGCAGAGCCTTGCTGCGTCCGCGTG